ATTGTGTTAGTCTATGTCGTTGAATGTTTTTTTTTTTTTTTTCACTGACTCCCCACTTTACCAAGCATGCTATCCTTCTCCCAGGACTTGGTCTTCCTTATAACATCTCTGAAGTATGAGAGACAGGCATAGAACTTATTTTATTGAATAAGTATTTAATTTATAACTTTTAAATATTTTAGCATAATGGTATATTGATCTCTGTATTATCACACTGGGTCCCACAGGGGCCTGAAGAGAAAGGGATAAAGACATCATTTGAACCTTATTCTCTCCTTAGGGTAGATGTCCTTAGACTAGAACAGTCCAGTTTAACTTTCCAGGATAACTTTAGGGTGGTTCCCTTAACCATAATTTGGTACAAACCTATATCCTGGCAGTAGAACAAGGTGACCTGAAATAATGCCCTTAGTTTTTGGTCTGCAGTGATACCCTCTAAACTTAGGTACATGCCAAGCCATTGTCCTCGCAAGTCTTCAGGGTGCAAAAGGAAGAATGGAAGGAGGAAACTTGGATCAAACTATGGCCAGAATCTTTTCTTAGTGTTACATGTGAATTTCATTTTCCACTATATTAATTATTGGGTGTTGGATTTTCACCTCCTTTAAGATCTGGAGTAATTCTTCCTGCACCTACTTAAATATTTTTAGGTTAAAAAAAAAAAGGAGGGAATAATTAGAATAAGAAGGCTTTATTAAATTCAGAGTTTCTATAAGAAGTTTTCCCAAACCAAATGGTATTTTGCTCCAGATAAAAATATTTCCTATGTTTGGGATATTATTTTGAGATTTCTCTAGAAATTGTAGAAATACCTGATTAGTTTTCTTCATTTGTATATTAGGACTTCTGGTGTGGCGCTGTAGGATCAGCACTGGACTGTGCACCACAAGGTCACCAGTTCAAACCCACCAGCTGCTCTTTGGAAACATAAACGGACAATATGTCCAAAGTAGTAGAGATGAAGCTTAGCCATCCTGGCCTCCAAGGAGCACTCTGGCTGCACTTCTTCCAAAACAGATCTATTGGTTCTTTTGGCAGTCCATGGCA